ATTTTAATCACAAAATTTTACAGTTAAAATATTTTAAGTATTAAATATAAATAAATGTGATTACCTTGCTCCTAAGGGACAACCATGGACTCTGTCAAAGTTGGTATCCCTCATTTTTGGGCTAATATGAGGGATACGTCCCATGCCCAAACCTACAGATATCGAAATAAATATTTGGTTAATATATATTAGGATAAAGTATAATAACAAATGAATGAAGTAATAACAAGTAAGTACATTTATTTACCTGAATCAATTGAACACAATTCTTGATCCAGATATCCCCGGCTCTGGCGGTCAAGGTGAGCCCTCTATAGACCCCGGCCAGGACAGCTGAACCCCAGTTGTACTACTTGATCTCATCGATCTCGAGCAAGTGCTGCATCCAGTACAGCATGACCCCATTCGCCCTTTGATCGGGAAAGAAAAATGACCCGATACACCAGAGTATAAGCGCCCTTGCCCTCTCTTCGTAGCGTGAGGGAAGCTCTTCATTTGTTAGCGGTCTATAACACTCCTTTTCAATTGCCGAGGTCTTCAAAAACTGGCCTGTAAGTTCCGGGGTGCCCTCCGGGTCGTCATTAGCCTGAGAGTGTTATATATATATATTGAAAATTAAATAATGGAATAAACAAAAAAAAATGTAGGAAAAAAATTATCTGGACTGAGGGCTCGAACCCTAGATAATCAGCTCAGTGTTCTTGCCATTCGTGGGGTTCGAGGTCAACTGTTTGTCCCCAACACGGCGGTCCATCGACCGGGAGACCAAAAAGGACTTGTACGTCCTGCAGCATTATTGTAGCCTCCCCGAAGTCAAAGTGGAAGGTGTTCGTCTCCGGACGCCACCTCTCCACTAGACATGTAATCAAGCTGTTTTCCGTCGATATTCGGCCCATTCTGAAAAGCGGCCCGAAACCGGTCCTTTCGATCACCTCCCATACTTTGTAATGTTGTACCGCCAACGCCTTCCAAAACTGAGTGTCGAAACGGCGGGTTTTAACCACGCCGTGACGATATCCCTCCACATCGTTGTATACAGCTTCCGACCGGTGGTTGTCCTGAAGGTAAAGAAGGGACCGATCCATCGGACCGAGATGGACGGTGTAGCGCTGCAGCTGTGAGGAGGATGTCATTTTCTACAAAAATAAAAAAAAATAAAAAAAATCATTACATATAAGAAAGCTTAATTTAGAACAAAATAAAAAAAAAAATAGACGGAACATCAAAAAAAGGGCTAACATAATCGAAACGAACCGTTCAAATCATCCAACTACAAGAAATTATGTACAACAATCCATTTGAGGCATTTTATCGAACACCTTCAATTCATAGTTTTCCAAACAAACTACAAAACTCTAATCAATTTCAAAATAACCGATCGATTTATCACACAAACATATCAACAATTCATCAACATATCTCAATCATTACAAATTCACAAATTACATATCAAAACAAATGAAAAATAGAAAAAAATTGTTAACCCTAACATCATGCTTTTGCTACAAACACACCATCTATATCTCAATTCATCCTTCAAATCGTGAAAATAGACGAAAAATGACAAGAAATGATACCTTATTTGATGAATTTGGTGTTGAATCCGGTAGAATTCTCTCGCCCGCTCTCTCTG